CTTCAGTTATTTACAACTTTTGAAATTAACGAAGAGCATTAAATAGGATCGAAGTGCTAATGATTATGTAATTACTGATAACGACTAATGAACTGGTGCTAATAAAAAGATAACAAGAAGCCTAATTACAAAGAAAGCAATGGACAAAATACAAGAAGCAAACCCTAAAAACTAAGAGATTAGAATAATAAATATGTTAATATGAGTGACGTAACCAATTGCGAGGAAGCAATGCGGCAAGCATTAAAAAAGGGAAGGCCCACTTTTAACTACAACTGTAAACCGTAACAAAATCCCAAAACAAGGCCTTTGGAGCCCGAAAAGGCAAATTGGCAACAAAATCCCTGGAGTGGCCCTTAACTGATACTAATCATAATAAGATCCCTTGGCAGGGCCTCTGAGTCCAATCCACACCTAAAGGGCCAACAAATCCAAGAAAAGGGCCTTTGAACCATCAATTAGTAGCGCCTAATATAAGATGGGAATTAATTATAGCAAATTCTATTTTTACAAATGAAATTCCTTTCTTTTATTCAAACCATGGGGTGCCAAAGAGAACAACTGAGCACTCCAATAAGCCTCTTTTGTGATTGAAAGCCCATCGATCTCTATAGAGCCACTAGGGGCCTGCACCTGATCAATGCATTGGAACGAAAAATCGTCCAGGATGTGTGGGATTTTGTTAAAGTGTATCGCTACTTCACAAGTTGTTTTGTTTGTGAGCATAGTAGATTTGTGATTTCGAAATCTCACTTTAAAGTCATATATATTTAGGTTTTCTCGTGGTGAATGGATCTCAAAGAGCACTCAACTCTTGGAGGAGCAATTGTATACTATTTTGAAACCAGTTCAAGACATCATGAGTGATTCATCGTTATATTGCTACAGTCCTGTTTTGTATGGCCAAAGGTTGGCCACACTCATCAGGCAACATCAACAAATGACCATCAAATTTAAATGCTGGCGGTTTTGATTTGAATTTAAATGGTGGCACGCGCGGTTAACACGGTTGGTATTGCGTTCACCATTAGTGTGTCACGCTATATGAAAGTTTTGGAGCACGTATCTATTCCTGTGGGGGCATGAGGTCGCTAATTCATTTTGATTGTTAAGGGTATATAGATCTTCTCTGCAGATTATGACAAATTTCTCATAAATGCACAAATTACATTTTTTTTTGTAATATTGCTGTAAGGGTTGCATTTTTTTATTATTTTTCACTTAATGCTGAAGGGGGTCTTGGCATCCTTCAATTTCCATACATGTTTTGACAGCTCAGTAGTGTTTCTTTTGTTGGTGTGTCGGAAGGATGTTCTATGATTTCTGTAACATTCTTTAAAGTTTGTTGCAAGTCCTACATATGATTCTGTTGCTGTGGCGGTTGTTATGGTTGCCTGGTAATCTACGTTCGTTTCCAGGCATTTTCCTTGAAGGGGGCATTTTTCCTTTGTTCGGCATGACATTGGTAGCTGGATTGTGGTATTGGAGTTGGGGTGTAACCTTTGATCTCGCAAGCGGAACCTACAAACCATTCATGAAACCAAACAATAAATTGCTGTATGTCCACCGGCAGAGTAACCACCCCCCCCC